CTCCCGGTGTCTTGGGGGGGGGGGGGGCGGGGGCCCCCTCCAGCTGCAACACCAGGGTGGGCGTGAGGCGAGCTGGGTCTCCATCCCGCTTACCTTTCCCGCACCCCGTGTGTCTGCCAGCACTGCTCCCTGCCCACACGCGCTGCTGATGGCGTGGCACCCCCTTCTCTCACCCTCGTGCCACCCCAGACTTTGTGGTGGACCAGATGCAGGCGGTGAAATTCGCCTTTGACATCGCACGGGGCATGGCCTTCCTGCACACGTTGGAGCCCCTCATCCCACGCCACCACCTCAACAGCCGCAGCATTATGGTGAGCGCCAGCGTGGCACAGCCCAGCCCTTCCTCCTGCAGCGTGGGGCAGGGTGGGTTCCCCTCTGACCGCTCCGCTCTCCCCAGATCGACGAGGACATGACGGCACGGATCAGCATGGCTGACGTGAAGTTCTCCTTCCAGTGCCCGGGGAGGATGTACGCACCAGCCTGGGTGGCCCCGGAAGGTGAGCACCCGGTAGCCAGGCCCCTCCTGCTGCCCGGCCCCTTCCTCGCCCTCTGCCCATTCAGCCCCTGTGCTGTGTTCCCTACAGCCTTGCAGAAGAAGCCAGAGGAGATCAACAGGCGCAAAAAAAAGACCTTCGCCGTGCTGCTGTGGGAGCTGGTGACCCGCGAGGTGCCGTTCGCAGACTTGTCCAACATGGAGATAGGCATGAAGGTGAGGAGGGGGCGAAATGCACCAGTCCAGACCCCATCGGCCCGGGTGTAACGGGGCCCAAGCGGGCAGCAGGGAGGGGAGGCTGGACCCACCACAGGAGCGCCTGTTCAACGCGGGGCTGGGACCAGATTTCTGATCCTGCCCTGCTCTCCCATGCTCCCAGGTGGCACTGGAGGGGCTACGCCCAACCATCCCACCCGGCATATCCCCACACATCTGCAAGCTGATGAAGATCTGCATGAATGAGGACCCAGCCAAGCGCCCCAAGTTTGACATGATTGTGCCCATCCTGGAGAAGATGCAGGAGAAGTAGAGAGGGAGGTGCCTCCCAGCCACCTGATGCTGCCACGCTTCCCTCCCCACCACCCCCAAGTGCCTTCTTTAACCCCAGAGCCAAGGGGGAGCAGGGAACACCCCTCCCCTGAGCCAGCCACGGACACACGGTACAGAGCGCGCCGGCGT